TTTTTTTTCCTTTCTTCAGCCAGCGAAGGACAGAAAAGTATTATCTAGTGGTTTTTTCTTACAGGAGGGAAGAAGTCTAATTTAATTAATTCAAATTTACTGAACCCCTACATCCATTTAAAAATTCTGAAGAGTAAACCATCGATACTGTATATCTATTTTATTTCAGCACCGCTTATTTATTAACAAGAAATGGTTCGTTGTTTTCACTGAACCTTTCAAGGAGTCACGAGAAGAACTTGGCACTGGCTGTTCCATGCTTACTGAGCCAGACAGTAACCTGGATGATGACAGGTACCTTAAAAAACCCTAAAGAGAAAGAGTATTTCGTTTTTTTGAGAGTTTGCATGGAATCGAGCATCTTCGCCTAAGATCTACGCCCTAACATGGAATGGCCTGATAGTGATCGACGTAGAAGAAAATAACAAATGCAACGTAGTTCGCATCGACTGGAACAAGTTTGGCGGTGAGGGTTCTTGTTTTTAAACAATTCTCATTTAAGTGCACATCAGCTAAGGACTACCTTTAAGAGAGGAAAACTCAATCTTTTTAGAAAAGGGACTGAAAGCTATGTCTGCATTTGCGATAGCTGATAAATTGTTCGTCTTCGTAACATCGTCAGAAATGCTGATTTACGGAAAAGAGAAAGTCATACCGATACCCATAGCATACCCGCCGCTTCGACAGATTCTTGCAGTTAGTCAAAGCAGTCAGCCTTATCCAGGTTATATTAACTCAATAGATTTTCCTTCAACTCATTATTGCTGGTTGCATCTTAGATCGGTCTTGTTTCGCGCTACCATCTTCTGCTGGTATACAGTTCACCGTTGTGAACGAAGGCAAAACGGGAGCGTTTTTGGAAGTATCAAAGCCGCCTCCTCCTAACACTTGTCTTAACATCTCTTTGCCGCAAACACACTACGAAGTTAGCCCCTTATTTATTTATAAGGCCAGCAAAGATAGAGAAGAATTTAGGTTTACTTCAATCGCAAAAACTCTGACAAAGTAAAGCACATTCGCAGTTATACTGAAAAAATACATGTGGAAAATGGCATTCTCGATAAAGAGACGGACTATGAGGTCACTGTGGCATGGCTGAATAGATATTCGGATGCTAGCGGTATTTCGGACCCGAAATCTTTCCGGACTGGGTAGGATCATAAGCAAAACTCATTGCATTGTTCTTATTGAGGTAAATCTTAGATTTGGTTATCCATCTGCTCCTCGTGCTCTACAGGCTGTAGCTGTAACACCGGATACAGTTTACCTTTATTGGAACTTACCAGAAACGCTAAATGCCCCAATTTCTGAAATCAGATACAAGGTAGATATCTCCTAATTATACACTTGTAAAGAGTTGAAAGTTTTACGTATTCAGATTTCACAGCAAGCATCAGGCCTCTCGTCTCCGTCTACTATTGCTGTACAAGAGTACATGGATGGAATTTTCTCGCCGACAACGTCAGATTCGGCATCATGTCTGGTTAGCCCCTGTAGGGTTAAAATTGCAAATCTAAGACCGGCGACCGATTATAAATTTTGGGTAATACACTAGTGTTTCCAAGATTTTCATAATTTTTGGCGTATAATTTCTATTAGATTGATTTCTAGGCAACATCAATTCACAAATCCCACTTGAACTCACAGTTCCTGGAAGACTCCGAAGCTGTCTCACAAGAGGTTTGTTCTGAGGATGATTGTGATATATTCCTTTCCTACTTAGTGTAAGCAAAATATGCATATACTACGTATAGTTCTCAAATGCTGGAATGGCCTTAACGTACACCGCGTCTCGTGCTAGTGCCCCATTCCTTTTTCAGCAATGCGAGCAATTATTATAATTACCATGTGAAATATCCTCAACCTCTTGTCACGATAGCTTGTTTCCACATGTTCTAAATTAGCTTTCTGGTGATTTTCCTCTACAGGTTTATCATAAAACAATTGTACGGAAGCCCGCATTTGTTG